TATTATTAAATTAAAAATTCTAAATAATATTTTATAAAATATCAAAACAATCAAATAATTTTTTGTGCAAATGAAATTATTAAATCAATATTGTAGGTGGAAAACATGAAACACTGTTAAAAAATTGAAACATAAATTACATAACTTTTAAAAAAGTATCGATCCTTTTTATAAAAAGTATGGACACTTTCAATATAATAGGTAAACATATGATGTAATAGGTAGCCCTTATATAATGTAATAGGTATCGTTTATATAATGTAATAGGTAGTGGTTATATTGTAAAGTGTCTATCCTTTTTATAAAAGTGTCCATACTTTTTCACTGTGGAAAACATTAATTTAAGGTTATGTTTTGAGTGAGTTTTAAGATATTAATTTAGTAATTATATGCGTCTAATGATTTATTTCTTACGTTACGATATATATTATTATTAAATTAAAAATTCTAAATATTATTTTATAAAATATCAAAACAATCAAATAATTTTTTGTGCAAATGAAATTATTAAATCAAATAATTCAAATTGAAATTTAAACAACAAATCAATTAAACATTGTTGTGGGTACATTAATTGAACATTGTTATGGGTACATTATTTGGAAAAATAATATTCCGGACTTTGTTAGAAATAACTCTTTTTCATTGGATTAATTTCGTTGAGATGGGTTATGTATAACAAAACAATCTATCTCGCATGTGAGTACTTTATTCCAACCATGTGACAACTCCATCAACTCACAACTCAGCTTTGAACTCAATCAATATTGTCTTTTAGCTTGATGGTTCATAAAGCATGTTACTTGAACAGTATGAATCAATTATGCAATTTTCATGTTCAATTTAACACTGCATTTCAAATTCATTTCATATGTAATTGGAGTTTGAATTTAAATTTCAATTTGAGTTTGAATTTCAATATATATTTCGGCTCCACTATAAATATTAGCCCAAGCCAATATGCATGTTATCATTGATTATTCCTAATTTCCATTGTTTTTTCCAACGTATAAACGCGAGGGAAATCCCGACCATTTTATTTTTTGGTCAACTTTAAAGCGTCAGAAACGTTTCGGGCGTATGATCTGGGTGGTATACAAGAAATGTAACAAATAGCAACTAAAATCATAAGTTGAGTACCACCCAAATCATAAGTCTGAAATACTTCCGATGCTCATCAAAATCCAAAGCTCATATGGTGCCAAGCAAAAGGAAATCAAAATCCAAATCTCATATGATGCCAAGCAAAGGAAATCAAAATCTACAACTTGAGTTTGAACATTGATATGATATGTTCAGTTGTTATCATGTTGGGATTTTCTCGTTTTTGATTGCTTGGATAGTTGTTCTCTTGCTTCTTCAAGTGTTCTTAAGGTTATCCTTTGAGTGAGTTTTAAGATATTAATTTAGTAATTATAGGCGTCTAATGATTTATTTTTACGTTACGATATATATTATTATTAAATTAAAAATTCTAAATAATATTTATAAAATATAAAACAATCAAATAATTTTTTGTGCAAATTAAATTATTAAATCAATATTGTAGGTGGAAAACATGAAACACTGTTAAAAAAATTGAAACATAAATTACATAAGTTTTAAAAAAAGTATCGATCCTTTTTATAAAAAGTATGGACACTTTCAATATAATAGGTAAACATATGATGTAATAGGTAGCCCTTATATAATGTAATAGGTATCGTTTATATAATGTAATAGGTAGTGGTTATATTGTAAAGTGTCTATCCTTTTTATAAAAGTGTCCATACTTTTTTCACTGTGGAAAACATTAATTTAAGGTTATGTTTTGAGTGAGTTTTAAGATATTAATTTAGTAATTATAGGCGTATAATGATTTATTTTTTACGTTACGATATATTATTATTAAATTAAAAATTCTAAATATTATTTTATAAAATATCAAAACAATCAAATAATTTTTTGTGCAAATGAAATTATTAAATTAATATTGTAGGTGGAAAACATGAAACACTGTTAAAGTATCGATCCTTTTTATAAAAAGTATGGACACTTTCAATATAATATAATGTAATAGGTAAATTTGCAATGCTATCGGTATAAATATACCGGTTTACTTATAAAATAGGTAAATATAAGCGCTACCTATTACATTATATAAGCGCTACCTAGTATGTTATTGTACTTTATAATATTTCCGGTTAAATAATATAACATAACCTGTCTAAATTTTAACCGATCACTTGTTTAACCGGTCGCGCCTTATATTAGCCGTTTTTTAGACGCCGCACCGCATAATTACCCCTAATACTTTGTACTTTTTTTTTTGAGGATTTAATACTTTGTACTTGTATGATCACATGGGGGAGCATATATCAAGATAAAAAACGTGAATGCCAAATTATCTTACTATCATCTCACTGGCACAAGATTCAAGAATTCGTGATATAATATGCCTTGTCTCTTTTCTTTTACTACTTTTCACAATTACAGTCTGTTGAACCTTGCCAATTCTTCTATAGTTGCATAGTCTCACAACCTCGATCTCGGTACTTCTAAACAGCCCTTCCCTTGAAATCATAGCAGACTTTTTACTGGTATTTCACATTCAAATTTAAAGAGGAACAATGACAACATTTCAACTCAAACAAAGAAGTGCCCTTTCAGCTGAATAACATTACACTTATTTAATCTTTTTAGCATGCTACAACCCTGGTACAATTTAAAGAGATCATTTGTGATTTATTCCTATCTATTGAACACGTGGTGGTGGGTGGTACGGAATTGGAATCAGATGCAGGTCTCTTTTCCTTCTAAAAGTAAGACAAAGACCTCAGCCATATCCAAATCCTCGTTTTTCATTGCAGTAGGGAGTTTCCAATCAAAATAATAATCCTTCTTCCTGCACCAAATGGGATCAGTTCAAAATTAGCCCCTTCATAGTCAACGGAACTGTTGACAAATCTCTCTGGATAAAATCTCTCGGTTTCTTTCCAATACTCAGAGTTCCTTCCGGTCGCCCTTGCATTAACGATGATTGGACTTCACCTGTATATCATATCCATTGACTTTGCATCCCTGTGAGCACTCTCTTGGAAGTAACAATGGGAGAGGAGGGTGCAATCTTAATGTTTCACTGATGACAAGTTTCAAGTAGTCCAATTCATGTAGCCCTTCACTATCAACATTCCCCTTTCTATTGAAAACTTGCCTCACCTCTGCTTGAGCCTTCTGCATAACTCTCGGATTTTACAGCATTTCTGACATTGCCCATTCTAGTGTTGTGAATGACGTATCACTCCCAGCAATGAAACTATCCTGAAGTTGTATCAACTATGAACTCTCAGTTATTAAATCTGATTTTGCAGTGCAACATGTAAAAGGTATATGACAAATAGATTTACTAACCAAGATCAGTCCTTTGATGTTGTAAGTTGTAAAAGAAAATTGGAGGTCTCCATTCTCCTGAAGGTTCAAAAGAACATCTAGTAGATCATCTGTTTCACCCTCAATTCCCTTGCAAGCTTTATGTTCATTGATGACACTTCCGAAAATCTTGTCTAGTTTTCGGTGCAGTCTCTCTAGTTTAGGCCTCAATCCAGTGAGGTACTAAAGAAATTTGACTGAAGGGAACAAATCTGCAACATTGAGGCCTGCACTGAAACGTGTAGCTTCCCTGAAAACTAATTTGAATTCCTGAGTCTTTGCACTTCCCACCAAAAGCAGTCCTCAAAACAATTTTGAATGTGAGCAAATATAGCATCTCACTAAGGTTGACCGGTGATCCTACTTCAGAAGAAATTGTTCTAACCAGCTTTGGTACCTCTTCTTCCCTAATCGGTCTGAACGACTGCACTCACTTTACACTTAACAGCTCCAACACACATTTTTGTGAGCTGTCTCTAATAGTCACCGTAGGGTGCAAAGGCAATGTCTGATGCATTACAAGTTACAATAGTAGAAGAAAGTAGAGAAGGCCTACTGGCGAAAATGATGTCATGGGTTCTCATCACTTCTGCAGCAGTTTGCGGGCAAGAAACTACGATATTCGAAACTTGTTCAAGCTGAAGATGCATCAAGGAGCCATATTTCTTGGCCATATCTCTTAATGTTTGACGGGGAAGATAGCCAGCATGGAGGTGTAAGCTCCCTATGACAGGCAACTTCCATGGATCTGGAGGTAGATTCTGTGACGAGTTCTCGGTTATGAATCGCTTCCCAAGTTTCACCAGCATCAACAAAAAGATAACCAAGGGGACGAGTATTGGAAAGGAGAAGAATTGGTGCTCCATGAATGTAGAATATTGAAGAGACTTATCGCTTCTGTTAATTACTAAGGTTATATTTTCAGGTTCGATGACATCTTTAGTTTCAACCAAAATAGTTGTAAAAACTCTTTGGGATCGAATCGATGCCCCATGTGTCTCGAAATTGATTATTATTTTTTTATTTCCTCGTCTGTTGGTTGAGGCCTAAAATATAACTCAATGATTGAGCAATGAGCCAAAGAAAGTAAGAAACTACCATCCCTCAAGAAGAAAAAGTAGGTTTTTATATCAATAGGTCTGCCCAAATCCGATTCGAAAATCAAATCTTTCTATCTGTATCTAATCCGACTCAAGGTTTAAGAGGACCTCATCTGATTCAAAGCCCGACTCGAATTCTTAGGTTGAAATCTGCACCATATGTAAAAAGAGAGATTATTTCAACTATCCCTAAATATATAAAGGAGAATTATAATATTATTTTAGTCAGATTTTTTCATCATAAACTCAATCTCACTCTTAGAAAACTAATTAGACCCGACCTACACCCGGATTTAAAAAAAATCGACTCAATTAAATTAGGTCGAGTTAGAACGCGTGATCCAGGTGAAATGTCCTATTAGCATTTCCACCCGCGAAGCTAAGCTTAGCTTTGACAATAAATGGTTAAGAGTCGGCCCTGATGCTGGTGCCCTATTTTGATGATCATGTGAAGGACCGTTCATAAATTACTTATCTAAAAGAAGAAAACTATAATCAAAGCGTACGCCCAAGCTTAATTGCTCTCAACTAACATCACAATTTGCATTTACTCAACACAAAAATACTCAAATCACACACTGAAAAAAGAAAAAGTAACCACGCTGAAAACAAGTGATAAGTTAGACCATAAAGGCATCACTAACTAAACTACAAGACTCACAGCAAGAAAAACACTAAGAACAAGCTCAATACAAAAGCAGCCAACCTGTCAGCCCTCCAAAACATACCACCACTCTCATCATCAGCTAACTGATCAGCAGGGTCCTCGTCTGGTGACTCGGCTGGTGAGTCTGAATCCGGTGTCGGTGCCGCCTTGGCCTTCGACTTCGACTTGGCCTTTGATTTGGATTTGGATCCCTTTGGTGCATCTGCTGCCTCCTCTGGGGCAGGGGCCGGTGCTGTGCTAAGGGCCGATGCCTTGAACAACTCTTTAGGCATCAAGACTTTATCGATCGTGTAAATTGCTACCGGCTGCTCGTCGAGCAGAGTCCCTGTTATTTTGACGGTGTTGATCCTGGTCTTTAGAGTCACCTCTTCACCCTCGTTTTGCACGGTGAAATCGAACTTGCTGGCTCCGTCAGTAGCTAATGTGTTCATGAGTCCGTTGTTGGATTTCAACATGGAAAGAGATTGGTACACAGGCACACCAAAGAATTCGAGGAACGATGCTTTCTTAGAAGCTGTCAAGTTCTTGTACTTGGGTAAAAAGGCTTTGAATGGATCGTCCAGAGGGCAGAACACAGTCAATCCTCCATTAACATTATCCTAGAAGCAAGCACCGTAACAACAGATCCATTACGAATTCATTCGGAGGCTATGAAGTATCAAACAAGCAAAATCTCAACAATTTTATATACTAGGGGCAAAGTAAGGACGAGCAAACCAGCACCAACAAAGGAGTAAATAACAAAGCAGATCATTACACTACATTTCCATAGCTACCAGTTCATGCACAAACGACAAGCTTCCAACAAAGCCTATTAATGTAACAATGACTTCAAAGTTGCAACTTCCAACCGTTTACGCCTCTCTATAAACTAACACCATCTTTGAATCAATGTCTACAACAACTGTCTCATACATTTACTGCATGTTGTTTGCTTAGGGTTGTAAACGAGCTGAGTCGAGCTCGACTCGACTCAAAAACTCTAAAATGGAGCTCAACTCAAAAACTTGCGAGCCTAAAATTTTCAAACTCAGCTCGAGTCGAACTCGAAACCATGAATTGAAGCTTGTAAAAGCTCGAAGTGAAAAAAAAATCTTAAACTTAACTCAATTGAAGCCTCAAACTCAAACAGAACCTTAAATACATGAAAAACCTTCTACTACATTTAAAAAAATCAACAGATAAATTTTAATATTATTAATAATTTATATTTTTAAAATAATAAAAACTTAATATATTATATTTTCGAGTAGCACGTGATCTTTTCGAGTCAAGTATCAAGTAACTCGTCTCGTCTCGTTAAGAATTCGAGTCGAACTTGAGCTTGAGTCGAGTGTTTATCGAGCTTTGACTGAGTCGATCTCAATAGCTGGCGATCTATCTCGACTCATTTACAGCCCTATGTCTGATTATAGGATAGTGTTAAATCCAGCACAATAATGAGCATGCTATATAGTCTAGGGTTCCAACACTTTAACGGACATTCAAAATTTGGCATCCAATTGGGTGGAAAAAACAAACAAACCCAGATCTGGATTAGACCTTGTCTAGAAATTTCACAAACAAAAACAAAATTTGAAATTTGAAAAATCTTAAGATGTCATTGTCATGTTCTTGGAGTAAAAATTAGCTCACAACTTTTCAATCACAACTTGCCTTTCTGAAAACTAAAATTAGCCATACTAAAGAGTAAAGAAAACAGTTTCCTATGCCATTATCACAACTTCTCAATGTGCTTTAAAACTATTTCTCCATTGCACACTAAAAGTCTAAAACCCCGCCATCGTCACTCAATCAAACGGCCAAAAATGATTTATTTTTCTACTTTCTACCCCCTTTTCCACAACCTCACATCTTTCTTTCACCTTCTTTTTCACTAGATTGGTTCATGGAAGAATCAAAGAACAAATTTCCAGCTTACCTCATAAGTTCCCATGGCTTCATGATTTTCCAAAAGAGTATCAGCAAACACTTTACATCCATGCGAAGACATAATGCCAGTGATATTCAGCTCACTCGGCCCTGGAGTAGGAGCCTCAGCTACCGCAGAAGGCAAAGCCTTGCTGATCTGAACCACAGATATATTATAAGGAAGCTCCTCCACGGATTTAACAAAAAAAGAATTCAGATTCCCATCATTGTCTTCAGGTCCAAAACCAACTTTCCCACCTTTAAAATCGGTTATATTAACAAACCCAGAAACCCCAGGAGCCACGCCAGTGGCTTGGAACATAGTGGCGGCCAGTGCAGTGCCATCCCTTATTTGGTGAAGCTTCTTGGCACCGAAGTAGTCGAGGAGGACATGGAGGGAAAGGATGTTTTTGACGGTGAAAATGGAAGGGTTTTTGGCTAAGAGGGAAGACATGGAGGCGTTGTCCAAGGCGAGGACCGTGATGGTGGTGCGGCGGTTGATCTCCTGAGCTAAGTGCGTGAGTGTGAGGTAATGGTTGAATGTCGATAAAGATGGGTGCTTTGCTAGTAAACGTGTAATGTTGTGGGCATTTGAGGTTTGGAAGAGGAGAACAAGTGAGAAGATGAGAAGAAGAAGGTGTTGCCTTTGCCCCATCATGCTGTTTCTCTTCCCTTTCCCCATTGATTCTGAGCTCTGTGATGTTTTTGTTTTGGACAAAGGAAGGGAAAGGAAAGCTTCGTAGTGTAGGGTAGTGGCTCTGCTGGCTAAAGCTAAAAGGGCAAGAAAGTTGAGAGGTTTCTGATGAGTAAAAGGGGCTTGGAATGTGGTTAAATTACAATTGCAGCCACTGTGCTGCTGAGTGAGTGGGTTTGGTTTGGAAAAGTGAGACAAGGGGCAGGGTTTAAAATTGGTTGCCCCTTTATGTAACTAATAACTACAGTCTACAGTAAGGGAAATTTGTTCATTCACCCATCAAAATTAATTAAATGGTTTAATTTTTTAAAATATAAAGGTTTATTTGAATATAAAAAACTTCCTTAATGATATAGCACGTTAAGATTATTATTTGTGATATAATTTCATAATATCACGTGTTGATGATAATAAATAAATCTCGTCAGTCGTTAATTATTTATTTATTTTTGTTTAGATAAAGATTTATTCTTTTTTGTTTAGATAAAGAGTTGTACTTCATAAACAAATAAACATTATTCGATGTTTTTCTATGAGAAAGAGTTTATCATAAAGAATAAATAGATTGGTATGGATAGTAAAAGGCTCCCATCTCTTTCTAGAATTGGTTAGGAGTATTTATAGTAGCGTTTAGTGTGTGTGATAGTTTTGAGATCATTACAATTATCTGTAGATCAACTGATAAAACAGATTTGATTGTCAGATATTAAATTTTACTCCACTAGATCATATGGATTTATCGGAGATTTTATCTATATATTATAGTCGATCACTAAACCTTTGTGTTGCAAGATGTGAGCTTTTAGAAAACTTTAGGAGGCGAGAGTTTTATATGAAGACCTTGATTGATAAAACATTAATAATTTCTTGTTGGAGATAAGAAAGTTTTTAAATAAAATATCCTTATATATACTACTATGCATTAAAAATTTAAAAAATAATTTAAAAAATTACAAGATATTGAGTTAAATATTGGTCTATCGTTTTATTTATATAAAACCCTTGTAACGAAACGTTGCTTACTTGTAGTCGATTACATTACACCAAAACCAAACCCCATTTTGCAAGCACAATTTCAATTTATAATATTTAGGTGTATCCAAGATTCTATCTTTTTTAATGTACGAACCAACTTATTTCAATGATTAAATTTTTTTTTATTATTCATATTTTTCAGAGATTACGAATTTAAATACTAACTATTATAGCAAGACGATTGAACATTGATTGTTCATACATTTTTGTAAATACAGTTTTTGTCTACGTGGCAGTCAGAATTCGGCAATTTGACTGACAGAGGTGCCATGTTGATAGTGTCGGCGTAAGATCAAAATAAAGCGGTCATTTTGTTTACCGGAGCGTGGCATTATCGTTGTTTGATGAAAGAAGGAGGGCCACTTGAGTCAAATCAATTAACAATAATGTAAGTCCATGGCTAAATTACACGTTTAGCACTCAAACTATGAGTTTTGATTCGTTTTAGCACCTATACTTTTATTGTTTTCAAAATCATATCTAAAGTTTAATTTTTATTTCATTTTAGTACTTCTATTTAAAATTTAATATTGAGTTTTGAAAACAATTTGAAAATTTAGGTACTAAAATAGACCAATAGTGATAGTTTAAGTACTATATATGTTAAGTTTTTAATGTTAGGATACTAAAATGAAATAAAATTTAAATATTAGGCATGATTTTTGTAAAAAACTAAAAGTTAAAGTATTATAAAGGATCAAAACTGATAGTTTAGATATTAAATGCGTAATTTACCTAAGTTCATATATACGCGGGCCAATGCTACGGCCAAATGAAAGCACAGCACGTGGAAGCCAATGCCCGTCCCCGTGACGTTAGCAAGACCAACACCGACAAAAGGTTTTCAATTTTCATGCTTGTTATTCAAATCCATCCTTCCATTTTTTAATGGAGAGTTTCACCGTAAAATAGTTTAATATAAGATTAAAGAAAAATACGATAAAAATATTATAAACAAATATAACATTTTTTTTTGTTAAACGTAACATAAAATGTTAATTTTTTAATATTTTAAGTTAAACCGAAAATATTAAGAAAAATATAACATTTTCGGTTGTCAATTTAAAATGTTACGAAGAAAGTTTGAATTAAAAAAATATTAAGAAAAAAATTAACAATTTAGGTTGTGGCCAACAAAAATATTATATTTATTTATAACAATTTTAGTAGTGTATTTCCTTAATATTATATTAAACTGTTATACCGTAAAACTCTTCATTTTTCATACTAAATTGAAAATATATATTTTGGTTTTCCATAATGTAAAACATTTTTAGAATTGACTGATATTCGTATATTTAAGTTTTTGGTGGTCAAATATTTTATCTTATCACTTTTAAGACACTATATTTTATTTAACAGCTAATATCTAGACGAGTATAAAACTTTAACTTAAAAAAAATTAAGTTAAAACTATAAAACATTAATTAAAAACTATAAAAAAAATTAATTGTACTTTCTAAAATTTTGAGAGATAAAATTAAATCTTTTAAGAATTCAACAGACTTAGAGTTTGATACGCAACTAAAATAGTTGCCAAAAAGATAAAAGAAAAATATTAGTAATATTTTATAAATAATTAAGGCTCAATACATTTTTAGTGTCTAAATTATATCTAAAAAATATGATTTGGTGCTTAGAAACTTTTTTTTTTGGTTAAAAAGTTACATCTTTTGATGGGCAAAAGTGGCAATAACGTTATAGGGAGTGTTTAATTCTCAAACTAACGTGTTCATCAGATTAATTCTTCACATGGAGTATTTTTTACAGTAGATTTGGGATCTCTCGGCGTCTTTAAGGTTGAATCAGATTTTTTTTAGCGTCTTGCTTGGGATCTCCCGACGTCTTCAAGCATCCTGTTTGGAATCTCCCGACGTTTTGAGGGTGTTGGATTGTTTATAGGGATCTCTAGGAGTCTTTAAGTTATCAAGGAAAAAATTTGGCATTTTTACACAAATATCACCTTAACATAAATTAATTACTTATCAGGCACTGTTTAAGAATATTTTACGGATCTAACAAATTTTTAAATACTTTCTATAAATTTTTTTATAAATTTTATATAAGTTTACTCAGTATATAATTCACCTAAAATATCAGTGGTACACCACTAAATGATGTTTTCATTGTAGCACATTCTCTCTTCTTTTTATAATAATATTTTAGCATCAAAAAGTATCGGTCAAAAATATACCGGAACTTTAGTATAATGTATGATAAAATATATAAATTTTTAGTTTTGTACAACTTAATATTAAATTTCAATTTAATTCAATATTTATAAATTATTAAATCGTTATTGCCGTGCTATTATTTTATAGGTATCTAGGAAAAAAAGAAAAAATATCTCGAAATTATATACAACTTAAATTAAAATTAAATAAAAAATAGTTAACATATATTTACATATAATATATCGAGAAGTGTATTTTACACAAATTTAATGAAATGAAAAGTGTATTTTATCATGAATCTCACACGTTGTAAGATCGAAGTTTATAAGTCTATCCTAAAAGATGTGTATGTCTTGTATTATATTTTAAAATAGTATTTCTTAAAATATTTTATAATTAAATAAATTTATAAAATATCAAAATTTTCATATTATTTAAAATGGTATTCTTAAAATTTTGTTAGATCCGTAAAATATTCTTAAACAGTGTTTAACATGTAATTACTTTATGTTAATGTAATATTTGAGTAAAAAGCCAAATTTTTTTCTTGATTTCACTCAAAGACCCTAGAGATCCCATAAATAATCCAACACCCTCAAGACGCTGAAAATCCCAAACAAGACGCCGAAAGATCCCAAGCAAGACCCAAAAATCAAGTTTTCACACACTGGCTGGTTCATTGACGTGAAACTACGTCGATTGTTCTGAAGAACACTACGAACGATCACCAAATTTTTAGATTTTTCATTGACGTTTTTCATCTATTTCAACGGCTATATAATTATCTGTACGCTACATGACCGTCATAATTAAACTTTCGTCCTACTCCGAACAAAACTCAATCGAAAGTGACTTGTTACCATCGATTTACGATGGATGAGAGGGAGAGAGACAACATGGGATGGAAGCTTGAGTTTTTTTAAAAAATAATTTTTTTATTATTAATTTTTTTTTATTGTAAACACTTAAAATTATAACCTAAAAAACTATTGACACCTAAAAATGTAATAAAAAAACATAAAGTACATATAATTAACAAAAAAGTTTTTTAGATATTAAATTGTATTTTGAAGTATAATTTAATCACTAAAAAATATATTTAGCTAATATTTAATAATTAATATGCGAGGCCATCTCACAATTATTACAAAGCCATAATCCTAATGTTTTTTACTTTTACCCAAAACCATAGTCATAAACTACAAGATACCTACGTTTAAGATACAGATCAAGGGCCTGAAATTGATCCTACCTTCTTCCTACCGCACACGTGTCTTTGATTATATCTACGTAGGCCCTATCACATTCAACTTCCCTTCGCCTATAGGCTATAATTCTCCCAGGTTTACCTTCAGCGCAGGTTGCCCAAAGTCACCAAAAGCATGCACGTGTACCCAATGATGACCTAACCGGGCCGACCCAAACCGGAATTATTATCGAATTCCAAACGATCAAACACGTGTCGAGCCACGATGGTGACAGACGAGGAACTACTTCGGCCCACCCATATAATTCGGAGGCCCACCTTTACCCACCCCATTACCCATTTGATGGAACGCAGTAGAACCATACACGTGTCCTTGATGCTGATGTGCCATCATCGCACCATAAACTCCGCCACCTCCGCCAGCACCGAGAGGCGCGTCTTTATCACGTGCGACCGATATCTTCTCGCCTTCCATCTCCCGGAACCGCTGCAAGTAAACCTTCAAGGGCTCCACGTAATCTTCGAACCCTAACGTGGTCATGGCCCACAAGAGGTCGTCGCCGTTGATGGTCTTCCTCTTCTCCTTCTGACACTTATCGGATCCTTCTCCGGTGATGAAGCTGATGAACTCCGAAACGCATTCTTGTACCGTTTCTTTAGCTTCTTTGGATATCTTGGCGTTGGCGGGCAAAGCCTTTTTCATGATCCTGCCAACGTTGGCGATGGGCAGGAACCTGTCTTGTTCTTTAGGGAAAGAAAGGTGGTCGCTGCAGTTGTTGTTCCCTCCTGCGTTTGAACCGCTGTTTTGAGCTCCTCCCGATTCAGTGTCTGAATCCGCCATGGCTGGAGTTGCTGAGAAAATATGTACGTATACAAGAACTAGGGTTTCAGTCTTTTTGTTAGTTTATGGAGTAGGGTTTTTAAATGGGAAGAAAGGGAGTAGTTCTGTGGTTGACCGAACTGAAGGTTTGCTATAATGGGAAATTGAGGAGAGGACTAAACTGAGGAAAATAAGTAATTTCAGGTCAATTTTTGTTGGAACGAACGCTTGGTACTCTCTCTCTCTCTCTCTCTCTCTCTCTCTCTCACACACACACACACACATAATTATATATAGAGAGAGATATATCATACAAAATAAATATGGCAGTCAAAAGTTTGACCAATAAAAGAAATTTAATGAAATATATTTCAGATTTACAAATTAGGAATAAGCATTGTAAGTCAATTTTTCTAACTTCCAAGTTAATAGATCTAATAAGTATTTGAATTCAAAAAGTAGAGAGAAAACTTAATTGGATAAACATTCAGATTATAGTAAATTGCTTTGTTATTTCTCTTAACTATTAAAGGTTATAAAATAGTCTTTCGGTTAGTATAATATGTTATGTTGTTGAGTTTTCAACTATTAAAAATTATAAAATAATGTTTGTATGGACTTTCAAACAGTGGCTCACTAGTATAATGTTTTAAGCACCTTCTCGACAATATAAAGTAAACGAATATTCGATCTATAAAATACAACTAAAACGTTCTTGGATCAGATTTTATCATATCTCAATCAACATGTTAATGTCTATCTCAGATGATCGCTAATTTTTTAACAGAAAATATGAGTTTAGAACATATAATTAGTCAAATGATCATTTTGTAACTTTTAATAGTCAGAGTACTCAATAAAGCAATGTCCTATAGTCGGGGATCATTTTATAATTTTTAATAGTCGAATGACTCAACAAAACAACGTCCTATAACCGAATGATCATTTTATAACATTTAATAGTAAAAAATCTCAACTAAACAATATCATATAATCGAAATATCATTTATGTATTTTAAACTATCGATTAAAATAATTTTATGAGTTAAATATCTCATCTTTTTTTATCATCAGTATAAATAATATGAACGTAGATGAACGTGGTTAGCACTGGGCCGTTCTTTTACCGATAAGGGTGTCGTTCGTACAGATGAACTACAAGCCGTTAGATAATATTCCAGAATTCGTTTTGAGCCGTTGATATTGTGTCTCTCACGTGATCGGCGGGAACTTTTCCTTTTCAAATCAATAGACTTAACAGCAATAATGTCCAAAATATTTTTGGCGTTTTGAGTGATCAGGTATGTAATAAGGATAATTAAAATACTACTATTATCTTTGGTTTTTTTCCTCGTATTGAATTATTTCAAAATCTTAATTTTTAATTCTGGATATTTTTGTCCGTATTGAATTATTTTAAAATCTTAATTTTAAATTTAAGTTTTTCTTAAAAAATATTATTCTTTATAAAATTTTAAGTTTAAATAATTACGTTTATAAAGTATTATCAATTAATTAAAAATTTTAACATTTATTATAATTACCTTAAATTATTTAAAAAATAAAACTATTTATTCAATACATTTAAAACATTAAATTATATTTACCTTTCCATCTCTTATCTCTTTCATTTTTCTCATTTATTATTATTATTATTCAAAAAGGTCAAATGATGAACTTCACTTTTTGGGTTGGTGTTCCTGTATCCCACCCTACAGATATCGGGTTTATTCCCTTATGTTCACGTTGATTTCTTAAATTTTTACTCTAATAAATTAATTATGATAGTGACACATGTTATTTGATTGAATAATTAAATTAAATTAATAAAATATATAAATAATAAAAATAATTTTTTTAATAATTTGAGATGACTATAATATAGTATCTTTATAATTTTTTTAATCAATTAATAATACATATATCATATAAATATAAATGCTCAAATCTAAAATTTCTAGAAACAATAACATTATCTTTTATTATTAAAATCAATCGCTGAAAAATGAAAAACCCTGGTGAACAAAACCCTAGCGTGCAAAAACCTAATGATGGTGCTCCGCCGGCGGATCCTTCCCTGGTTCCACCCGAAGAACCATCGGATTTCAGTTCTGATGCTATTGTGATGGACGGAATCAGCCTAGAAATCCCTAACGCGTTGGAGATACCTGAATCGCCAATTGAGAATGAGCAAGCATTAAAGAAAGGGAGGAATATGAATTTTGATATGGGAACTGGTATGATGATTGTGGATTCTGTGGGGGAAACTGATAACATCCCTAAGATGGACGAAATTACAGGTGAGGCTAGAACGGGCAAAGTGTCATATAAGAGCGTAGTTTTGGGAGGCTCTATCCATAATAGGGTCTCGGAACGTGTCCCGAGTTTGGATGAAGTCGTGCTGGAAGAGGGGGAAGTTACGGTTGATATCAATGGACCGATCCTTCGGTGGAATTTTTGGAGAAAGTCCATGAGAGGATTGATCAAAGTATGCGAAGGTCGGTCATGTTTGTTTTCTTGGAGCCAAGATTGGTTACAAAACTCTGCTGGATCGAATCAATCAACTATGGAAACACAAGGGAAAATTTCAGGTAGTTGACTTTGATAATGATTACTATATAGTGATGTTTGTGAATGAAGATTAATACACAAGGATAACTATAGGATAACGATAGTGTGTAAATGTGTGTGTTGTGGCACGTAATTTCGTGTAAGTATATATAATTGATACAAATAATATAGTAGTAAGTGAGTTATCGTCTCTATAGGGATCATCGTGAAAAGTGTCTTGAAAGGCCGTTGGATTTCTAGGTTTTTCATTGCCGTTTTTCGACGATTTCAATGGCTACAATTGTCTGTACGTTGCATGGCTGCCACCGTTGAATTCCCCGTCCTGCTCCAAACAAAACTCGACCGGTGGTGATCCTTTCCGTTGATGGTAGGGGATGGAAAGGAGAAAGACGACGTGAGATGGGTGATTTTTTGTTTTTGTTTTTTTTGTAAAAGAATAATACTTTTATTATTAAGACACTTAAAAAATTACTAAAAAATTATAATGATAAACATTTAAAAGTGTAATGGAGAAAATTGTAGGCGCCTAAAAGTATAACGTAAAAATGTTTGACACCTATTGTTAGCAAAATTCTTTATGCACCAAATCGTATTTTGAGGCATAGTTTATGCACTAATAAATTTATTAAGCCTTTTAATATATGGTCACTTTCGTTTTTATTTAATTGAGATATGGTCATCACGGGTTAACTGTTGTTAACTAGGTGACACGATATTTTGGTATAATTACACATTTGATTCATGTTAGAGAATATGACCATATATTATATTTTTTGAAATTAATGAGGAAAAGTAGACAAAACACAAACATAAGTGATTAATCATATAGATAATCCTAATATTTTTATTATTAAAAAATTTTAAAAAATTAAAAATATAACAATAGACACCTAAAAGTAATGGAGAAAACTGTAGGCACTTAAAAGTAGGCATGTAGACGAGCCGAACGAAAACTGTAGGCACCTAAAAGTAGGCATGTAAACGAACTGAACGTTCAGCAAATCGTTTAATCGAAATTTCGTTTATGTTCGTTTATTTATTAAAAGAATGAACATGAACAAGATTTTATGTTCATTTAATTAAATGAATGAATACACAAAAAGTTTGTTCGTTCATTTATGTTCGTGAACGTTGATAATTCGTTCGTTTCTGTTTATTCATTTATGTTTGTTTGTTTATATTCGTTTATGTTCGTTCGTGTTCTCCAGACCCATTTATAACATTAAGACAATACATTTTAACCCTAAATCCATTAATAATTTAAACTCAACTAATTTTAAACCCAAAAAAATTACTCAAATCAATTAAAGAAAATATAAATCCTAAAATTATTTCTAAAGAAAAAAAAAGCAATTTTCAAATATAAACTCAATTAATTATATGTCTCTTTGTTTGTGTTTGTTTATCATTTTAACGAAAGAAAATGAAAAACACGAACAAACTAAATTTCTTAATAAACGAACATGAAAAAGAAATTCAATTTGTTTAGTTATTCTTGTTTGTTCGTTTAAAGTTAAACGAACGAACATGAACATACCCCCATTCGTGTTCGTTTATATGTCTACCTAAAGAAATTCAGTTTGTTTAGTTTTTTGTGTTTGTTCGTTTAAAGTTAAACGAACGAACATAAACATACCCCCGTTCATGTTCGTTTACAGGCCTACCTAAAAGTATAACGGAGAACACGTTAGGCATCTGTTGTTAGCAAAAAATTCTTTAGACACCAAATCGTATTTTGAGGTATACTTTAGGCACTAAAAATGTATTAAGCCTTTAAAATAAAATATAATTTTTTATGAATTAAGGTTTAGGTTTGAGATTGAGCTAAGATTTAATTTTTAATCTAGAATTCGAGTTGAATTTAAATTTTAAGTTTGTGAGATTTTCCTGTCCAGTCAACTTGAATTTTAAATTTTTTAAGACTTTAATGCACCATTGCACCTTAAACTATACTATTTGTACCGAATTGCCACTAAAATATTTTCGTGACGTTTTGCCTCCTTTGTTACCTCAATTGGCCCAATCTGTTAACTCCATTAAAAAATATGTGGGTAAATTACATATTTAGTCCTATTTTGTTTTCAAAATCATCCCTAAACTTAAGTTTTTCTCTTGTTTTGGTTTCCCAAATTCAATTAGACTTATTTTTTAAATTTACAATATATAATAATTCATTTCTATCACATATTTTTTACTCGACATATAAATTTTAATAATATGACAGAAACTTGGCACTTTGAAACACCTTGTAAAGTTTCTACAGCTTTTGTAATTGGCTGATGATTACTGATGGTACATATTCCAAATCAGTTCCGAGTGAGCTTCCTAGAATTTTTAGATGCATGTTTCTGTACATAATATTAACACTCGTGTTTTAAGTTGTGATGCAGAACATTAGAGCAATTTGCATTTCTGATTCGGAAATACCCTTTCCTATGTATATTTCTCTCGGCCTCTGAAACCATCATTAGAACCTACTATTTTTTATGTTTTTTCAAGCACGATTCTGTGTCTTCAAATTGCTTTCTTTCCTGATTGGGGGTTGTGAGTGGGTGTTCTACAGATTCACCAAGTCCCTGAATAATGTCAGTGGATTAATATTGATGTTTCGTTTGGCTTGGCAGCTTTGGCACACTTTGCCTTTGGACATAAGCAGCACCGCAAGTCATTTGCTGCTGCATAAAGGAAACTTCAGCCTAATACCCTGTTGAATTCATTGCCTTCCGTGGCTAATATAAAGGGCACAGGAAGTGGAAATATAATCTCACTCCAGATGGGTCATTTAACAGCCGTTGTTCGGGATGGAAGGGTATCCACCAGCAGTCCTCTTTCTACTGATGCAATCGTGCATGGTTCTCCATTATCTGATGACTCATCTCAACATTTTGACTCTGGAATACTGAATGATTGTGTTAGTAATGGTGAAATTCATAATTCAAGGCCAAAATCTTTGGACAATGCAATATATCTTTTATTAAAATTTTAAATACAAATAACTAAATAGGTTGTATATTATTTACGTTATAATATTATTTATTATTACACATTAAATTTATGTGTTGAGTGAACAAATATGTGATATAAATGGATTCTTATATATTGTAAATTTTAAAAAATAAATCTAATCGAATTTGGGTGACCAAAACAAAAGAAAAACTTGAGTTTAGTGATGATTTTGAAAACAAAAATAGTTGATTGACCAAAATAGAATTTTACGAATAGTTAAGTGATTAAGTATGTAATTTACCCATGTATTTTTTAATAGAGTTAACATACTAAAGCAACTTATGTATCGATTTAAACTTTAGAGGACAAAACGTCTAAAACAAATATTTTAAGAGACAACTCGATATAAATAATATAATTTAAATAACAATAATACATTTAAACCATTTTATAAATTAAATAAAACTCAATAATACTCAACTCGCTTGGACTCATTCAATCCCCTAAACAAGAACAAGTAAATCAAAGTGGAAAACTCCAATCAAACAGTAGAGTACGAACAGTGTTGAAAGTTGAAACAAAAGGGTCAAATGGAAGAGGGCATTACGTTGATCATTATCATCATCATTCACCGCGCCCCCAACTATACATCTTCTGATAATTGACACAGTCACAGCTGCAGTAAAACCCGTCGTCTTGCACCTTCCAATTCACCGGCCTTTGTTTAAGAAGGCGGCAAACTTTACTCCCGTAGCTATAACCATTGGACCTGAAAATATCGAACGCCTTGGTTTTACCGCCTCTCATGAAAACGCAGTTAAAAACCGTTCTGTGCCAGAAGTTGGGGGGTGAAGTGGAACTGGAACTCGCCGCCTTTCCAGATTATGTGCTCTTTAAGATCGTGGGTCTTCGACCTCACGTGCACCGTCAGCGGCGGAGCCCTTCTGGACATCCGGCGGAACTTTAAATTTTCTCTGTTTAATCTCTCTTTGCTCTCTAACTTATCCCTTAATCCTTTTCTTTTCTGCTAACTTTAAATTTTGGGAGGAAAATAACAGTAATGCATTCACTAATTACTACTTACTAGTTTCTATATGCTTTTTATTCAATTATTTTTTGCCATCCCATTTTTATTAATTAGACCTGTCATATGCTTCGATAACCTGCTGTTTCTGATCGTTGATGGGGTAAGCTTGGGTCGTGGTTGGGACACACTTTTTTATATTAACGGGTCCCCCTGTTAACTCACATCAATCACTCACCTTCTGACGCTTTGGCTTGGTTTAGCTGTAAAAGAAAGATTGATCATGGTCATGGGACCAGGCTCGCAAGGACTTTGGTTGGTCCCCAATCTAATCGATCCACTTTCTTTTGTTTTGTTTCAATACCATTTCTCAGGACAAAATGTGGGATGAAATTATAATTCAGAGTTTGTATTATTAGGTTGAGTGGGGACATGCAGTTTTTACAACATACTAGCAAGAAGAAGGCTTATTTCACTTTGATCACTTCTCTTGAGTTGGTTTTGCTGTAGTACTCACATCATCAACATTAGCATCCTTCATGGCGGCCGAAACATCATCTTGCTTATATAACAGGAGATCGGCTGCACTGTCAAATGAGTTCAACGGGCTTTAGTCTTGTTGTCGAAGTGGTTTTATGTGAATTCATTTGGCAAATTAAGTATATCTTACCCGAAAGCCTTGTGATCCTCGATACCGTCGGCTGCCTCCAGGTCTTTCCTGGCTGCAAAGTTGCTAGCAATGACCCGCTTTGCCAATTTCCTTGTTTCGACATCGGTGTACACCTCTGCGAGGTAGAGAAATAGTTGGCCTACGCAGGAAGTTCCGGTTGATATCCAGAATACAGCAAACATGCGGCCGAATGTACTTTGGAAGGTCTCCTCTCCGAAGCCTGTGGTTGTCATGGTAGTAACTGCACAGTAGATACAATCGAAGAAGTCCATTCCTTCGACGGTGAGCAAAACGAAGATCCCGAGGACGAAATGTACCCCCATCGCCATCAACGATATCTTGACCTTATTGTAGTCTATTTTGAGGCTGTCAATCTCTTTAAGGGCTTCCACCGGACCAAATTTTCGAGCCGCACACAGGGCATTAACCATCACCATTTGCTGCTTCACGACCAAGTACTTTGCAGCTATCTTCAATGCTATTCCGAACAGAAACATCCCTACGGTTACGAAAATGCTGGTCACGACTCGCACATCGAAACTGTGAGGGAAAGGTCTCCGTTACCAACAGTGGTCATTGTGGTGACACAATAGTACAGTGAATCAACGAAATCGTTCGTTTTTTTTCCCTCCGATATCCTCCTCCAACGCATTAAAGCATATGGTTCCAATAGTCAAGTAGACGGCAAAGTATATGCCAAGCCATTTAAGATCAGGGATCTCGGACCCAAGAGTATCCGGAGGGGCACACTTTGCAGCGACCATAGTCGTTTTGCAGCCCCGAAAGCTTCTTTTCTCGGGAGCATGTTCATCATTTGTTAACTTCGCTTGCGTAGCATTGTTTGAAGCCATTGAATCGATCGAGTCGAAGTGATCCAGCACTAAGATTACCTGCAAGAAGCATTACAACATAGAATTTCAGATTTAGATAAACTGAAATACAGCTATCGAAACTAACCTGGTATTAAGCTCAGGTTCTTCACTAACAAGCTCGTAAAGAGAACCTCGGAAAATTCAACGGAGACGGAAGCGACTTACCGCAGAAAGCAAGTTTGCAATCCAATATAAAACGCTTAGAATTAGAGGGAACTTTGGATCCAAATGCATTTGGAAAGTTCCTAGAAGATTCATGCTGATGTCATTTTCTGTTTTTGGTATGTGCTTAGGATTATGGGAAATTTCGTATGCACATCCAAAATGAGAAATTCCAATATTTCATGCTATGTTAAGAACACAAGTCCAAAATGAGAAATTTCAATACTAGATGAGTGTCTCTCAAATGCTGGACTTGTGTTCATGAAGTCGAATCTGAAGATCAAAACATGACATCATATACAGTGGACTTGTGTTCATGAAGTCCAATCTGAAGATCGAAACATGACATCATATACATTCGAGAGCACGAAATAGCTTGCCATTCAAGTTCGAAAAGTGTGTATATTGCTTTTTTGCTTGCATAACAACCTTTCCATTTGCACAAGAACCAGCTAACTGGTAAAATGGCAAACAGTTCATACTTTAAACTCTACCAGAAGTTGCTAAGAATCTCCATTGCGAAATACATTCACATGTGTGAAGTTCAATTCAATTTGATGAAGTCGGAGTACTCGATAACTCACACAGTGATCTATAAGTGATTAAAAGTTCGCATTATAGGTTTAAAGATTAGTTGTAAGAACATTCGCCTCATTCCTCCAATAGAGGCTGGGCTAATACTGGAGTTTAACTAACCTTCCATTACATATAATGTTTCTATGAGGTCCTAGTTTCACCGGATTGAGCTTCGGTTATATCGGATACCGACAAGGTTCCGGAATGGTCAACATCGAGATCCTCGAATTCCTCCAAGATAAGTGAAATATCATTTTGGCAAATCTTCCCCATTTCTTTAAGTTTGAATAGAACAAACTCCGCTGCTCTGCAAAAATAAAGCAGAGAAAACAAGTTGATGTCAATTACGCATGCGACTAAAGATAGAGCTGATAAAAAGAAAGCTAAGTTCATAATCTGCAAAATATTTACACGACGACTCCATCGTCATCAATATCAGCAGCCTCCAAATCTACTTGTGTTGTTTTTCGAGTAAGAACCCATTTCACCAGTGCTCTTTGTCTGTTCTCTGTATTTACCTCGGCGACGTAGAGAAAGAACTGAGCCAAGCATATAGTGCTAGCTAATATCCAAAATACAGCAAAAATACGTCCCCCTTCAGTTGAAAAGCTTTTATCTCCATATCCCAAGGTTGTAATTGTAGAACAAGCACAGTAAAACCCGTCGATGAGGTCTAAGTTCTCGACTTTATGTAGGAAGACGATCCCGGTTAAAATAAGCACAATAAGAAGGATCAATGTTGTATAAAACTTGTATTTCACACGTTTAGTCTCAATCTCCTTTAGAACCTCAAATTCACCAGCTTTTTTATACATGTTTAAGGCTTTAACCAGCAATACCTCTTCCTTCTCCGCCAAGTAGTCAGCAGCTTTGCCAAGCACAAATCCGATTAGAGCCATTCCTGTGAAGACGAAAGCACAGGCTAGCAGTTTCGCGAGGTCGCTGTTAGGAACGAGGTCACCATATCCGACGGTGGTCATCGTAACGACACAGAAATAAGCAGCATCAAGAATTCCATTAGTTTTATCTCCTCTGATTTGGTTCTTGATTGTATAAAAGCAAAGGGTGCCTATACCCAAGTATAATGTCAAAACTACGGAAACCTTCTTGATATTTATGTTAAGTCTCCCGAAAATGGACTCGGAACGCGGAAGTGCTTCTTCTCCGTTAGGATCAGTCGGACCAATATCCGCAAACGGAGCACTTCGAACACGTCGAAGCCGCCTTCTCCGCTTCGGTCCATCCCCATTACTCTTTCGAGTTTTCGGGGTTGCTACTTCTGATAGCAAAGGCTGGTCTGCATCATTACAGGCCATTGGGAAGATTCAGCAGGCATAAATCACTACCGGGAACCCTGCACTTGTCAGAAAACTGGACTTAAAGTAACCAAATGGTACCACAAATTTAAAGTTATTGGTTCTTTTTAGTTTTTGTTTCAAAGGTGAAGTAGATCTACTCCACCACCAAAATTTAAAGTTTCGTTAAATTACAATAAATTCATCCCAATTCGATGCTCTTTGGTCCAATCTGAAATTTTTCAATCTTACATAACCCCTTCACCACTGATCACTAAAGCATCCCAAGACAAAGATGTATTCCAAAATAAGTAACTTAAAGCTCATATTTTTTCATACAAAACTGGCTCTGCCATGAAAGTTTACGATAAAGCTCAGATCCCAAACTGAAACTAATACAAACAAAGATCTAGCAGGAAAATGATAAATTTCTGGAGACTTACCTTGGAAAACTGTTTTTTTTTTTGGTATTGTGTGTGTGATTGGGAGGGGGGGGGGAGAGAATTAGGATAGCAGAAGCTTTTGGAATTTGTTAGAAGATCCAAAGTAGTTATCAGTTGACTGTTGATTGTTTTATCGTTTTTGTCAATATCTATTTTACAGCTGAAACTTGGTACATGTACATACCACCATTGATCGAGACTGGAGGAGATATATTATATTAATAGTGTAATGCCACTTTTTGTACATAAATTAAAATAAAAGAAGCGATAATTTAACTTTAGACATTGATAATGATATATGATAATATAATTAAATTACCATCTTTGCTGTTAAATCCAACAAAACGGGCCTCCACAGAAGAGAACCAAACTCAATTTTCCAGGTATTGTGGAATTGGGTTGTTACGTTAACATGTTCTGACCCTTTTTTTCTTTGAGATTTTCTGTATTTCCCGAGTGCCAAATAAGAGGAGAACTGAAGCCACGTTACATAGATTCTACTTCACCTAAAAATATTGATGTGACTGTTAAAAAAATTGATATAATTATATATTTATTTTAATATTTATATATTATATTAATTTGATTCTATTTTAATTTAATTTAATAAAAAATTAATCCTTTAATTAGATTGCGACATGCATGTCATCATTACAAAAGGATTTTCTATGTCAGCAAAACAATCCATTACATGGTGCTCGCTGCTTGCTGTTGACTTAGTTATGATTGGCTTGTTTACATGTTCTACTTCCACTCCATTTTCTCATGGTTTCTTTTCTTGTAACATTCCAGTTCCAGCTAAAGCACTTGAATCTTACCTCGATCTCAGGAAGAAAGTGGAAGAACATGTGACGGTGAGTGCAGTTCTTATTTATGTAGCTTCTAGTGTTCTAGTTTGCCCACCTATCTTTTGGTTTTTCTTCTTTATATTAGTAGTAACCTTTCTTTATTTCTTGCTTTATCTTATATTGAAGGAATTTACTGAACCAACCTCAGATAAGCTTCTTCCTGATTTGCATCCCCAAGAACAACATGTTTTCACACTTGTCCTTGATCTGAATGAAACATTACTTTATACGGATTGGAAGGTATGTATTTGACATAATTTATTTTTCATTCTCCTTTATAAAATCTAAACTTTTTTTTGATAGTCTGAATTCTGAAGCTCTTGTTCAAATGTTTGTAATTCTTTTTCTTTTTTCCCGTTTTGGTTTACAAAGCGAGAGAGAGGCTGGCGTACCTTCAAAAGACCTGGAGTTGATGCCTTTTTGGAACATATGGCAAAATTCTACTAAATTGTCGTCTATTCTGACCAGATGAACATGGTAATTTGAATATTTTTCATTGTGACGACCATTTATAATGCCTAAGTGATTGGTAACTGATGATGCCTGAATTTACTTATTTGTTTGTTCTGGTTTGTGCAGTATGTCGATCCTGTTTGTGAAAGGTTGGATCCTAACCATTATATACGATATAGGCTATAGAGGGGTGCTACTAAATATCAGGATGGAAAACATTGCAGAGTAAGAAGTTTTCTGCTAGATCAAGTCCCATGATATTTGTTAATCTATGAGACAGTCGGTTAGAGCTGATACTTCAAAATGAGTAACAAGTAGTCCCTATTTTCAGGATCTTTCAAAGCTTAACAGGGATCCAGCCAAGATTCTGTATGTGAGTGCTCATGCATTTGAATCTAGCCTTCAACCAGAAAATTGTGTCCCTATTAGGCCGTATAAGCTTGAGACAGATGATACAGTACTTTTGGATCATATTCCATTTCTTGAATGTGAGTCCGATTAGCTTTGTTTGTTTAGATGTTTTCCATGTTCTTTTGTTGATTTTAGTACCATCTGTTTTTGGCCGTCCGGCGTCCGCAGATGTGGCCCGCAATAGTCCAGCTGATATCAGACAAGTACTCCAATCTTATGAAAGAAAATATATTGCAAAGGAGTTCCTCGAGCGTTCTAAAGAGTATCAAAGGTGAAGTATATTTCTCTTTCTGCATTATAACATCGATAATTGTAGTCACATACATCATTATTAAAATATTGTTGAAGAACGTTTTGATTTGGGGGCAACGATGATGGCACAGGAGAATGCAAGGACAGAGGCAGCAAGGTCGTTTCTGGCTTCGATGAGGAAAGAGTCTTGTATAGTCGAATGAATCATGGATTTTCCAGAAATCATAGGTTGGAGTTATGTATAGTTTATGATTGCAGATTTCAGAAATCCTTCTGCAGGATGAATCCTAAAGAACATGGGATTTGAGGGCTAATTCATTTCCTGCTCTGTTTCGTGGGATCTTTGGAACAAATTAATAGGCTTTTGGGGTCTTATTTTAGCTCTGCCTAATGATCCTACATCCCTTTTCAGCTCCTGGTTTGATTTGAGGGCTAATTCATTTATATGGAGGTTTATTCCGGAGGTAGTTTTTTGGTCATTTTGGAAGTTGAGGAATGACATTGTTTTTGAAAAGGGAAAGTTGGACAGATCCGTTTTTCATTGTTAGATTCAGATTAGCCAAATGGTTTCTAGCAAAGTATCCTTTTGTCCCTATTTAGGTGGATTTCTTAATTTGAGACCCTTGCTTGGTTGACAAATTTACTGGTTTTAAGGATCAGAACAGGCCTATACTATGCTGGAGTCCTCCCCCGTTCATTTCTTTAAGATGAATCTGTTAGTAGTGTTGGGATGATAGGTGGAATAGGGGTATTCTTAGAGATTATGGAATGGTTCTATTCTTATATCTTTTTCAGAGAATGTTGGTCCTAGCCCTCCCCTATAGCAGAATTGAAAGCCATCAAGAAAGGTATCGACATCTTTGTCTCCTCAGAATGGGTGTTGAAGGATAAGCTGATTATTGAGAATGATTGCAAATCAGCAGTGGATTGGATTAAAGTTCTTTCTTCGGTTCCTATTTTTCTTACAAATCTAGTTAAGGAGATTGTGTATATTGTTTCAGATAAAGAGATGATTGTAAGGTTGATACGTAGGTGTTGTAATTGTGAGGCTGATAAGCTAGTAAAGGAGGGGATTGGGTGATTGTAAGCTTTGTTTTTAGTTGTTTAGTTGTTTTGTGTGTTTTAGAGAACTTTTGTAACAGGGGTTTGTTTAAGTCTTATGTAATCGGTTTATCAATAATATTTTGAGGTACTCTTTTCCTCCTTCAGCTAGACGGTTCTTGTCTTAGGGCCAAGGACTTCTATGAGGGAGGTTTTTAATTAGGGCTGTTCAAGTTTTCCCCTCCAGTTTTGCCAGTTCAGAAGCCATTTTCTTGGGGGGGGATCATAAATAGATGAAACTGCATCATTTAAATGTCTGCCCAAATGTAGGCAAAGCTTCCACTATTTCCAACTTGTTGATAATCATTTAAATGCCTGATTGTGATGCTTAGGCGTTTGATGCATTATGGTTGGTTCACACGTCGCTCTTTGCCAACGACTTTGAAAGTGTGAAATGGTTGTGGTCTTTGCAGTTGGATCCACCTTCACGGCAAATCGAACTGGAAGGTGGTTCCCCACTTGACTTTGATTGACTTGCATGCGTTTGATCGGAACGGAACATGTTGCGTTCCTTCCCACAGTGAACCCCACGGCAAGCTTTTATTAAAGCTTTGACAATTAACCGAACGATTAATAGAAATAATTTAGGGTAAACTACAAAATGGCCCCTGAACTTTTAAAAAACTTTTATATTTATTTTGTATAAGTCAACAAACTCTTAGGATCTGTTACATAATTGTCAAAAATTTAATTTACTATTATTTCTATGCTATTTGAGTTAGGATTATCGCGTGAATCCTAAAAATTTTGTTAAAAACTTTTAATTTCAATTATCATCGTCTTACTGTACTTTTCATGCCTTTATTTTGTAATAACACATTTCCCTTTTTTAAGCAACACTGTGTCATGAGGGGAAAGAGTAAAAGGTTAAAACTTTCAAGTCTAATTCTAAATCATAAACATTACATCCCCAAATTTGATAATTTTTCCAAACCAATCCCTAAAATTAACAATTTTACAGTTTCATGACATCAAAAAGATCAAAAACCAAAAGAAACAATAAGAATTAAAAAAATTAAAGATTAAATTAAAGAATATTACTTTTAATGGCTAAAAAATGTACTCTGTTAAAATATTTTGTGGAAATCATTTTGGTGTACTAATTTTTCCCCATGTGTCTATCACGTCCATTTCCTAGTACTTTCCGTTTCATCTTGCAGTACAGACAAGGACAAAAAACCCTCCCTTCTCTCTAGTTTCTATATAACCAGTTATGTAAAAAGCTCGACTCAAACACAGTCTCTTCCGATGAAACTCCCGCGTTTTCTCTTCTTCTTCTTCCTCTCCCTCTCCTTTTTCCTCTCTGCAACCTGCCATGGCGGCAACGACGACGACGACGACAAGGCAGCCGGTGAGAGCAACGAGGCTTCTCATAACCTGCGTTCGAAATCCCTGATCCTGGTAAAGATATGGTGCTTGATCCTGGTGTTTACGGGCACCTTCATCGGTGGGGTGTCGCCCTATTTCCTAAAGTGGAACCAGGGTTTTCTGGTTCTGGGAACGCAGTTTGCCGGCGGGGTGTTTCTGGGGACTGCTATGATGCATTTCCTGAGCGATGCTAATGAGGCTTTCGGCGATTTGACGACTGAAGAATACCCTTTCGCGTTCATGTTGGCTTGTGCTGGATACCTGTTCACAATGCTTGCTGACTGCGTCGTTTCTCATGTGTATGGGAAACATCAGGGTTCATTTAACAATGGGGATCTAGAGCTTCGAGGTAAAGAGTAAAACAAACACTTGTTTTTGTGTTGTCGTGTACTGTTTAAGAAATTGAGGTTGAGTAATAGATACAGGCAGGCAGCTTCATGTGGAACAAACAAGAGATGAGGAATCCAAGGTCTAATCAGGTCCCACGTAACTAAGAATTTTCAATTAAAGTAAATTTGTTAGGTGAGGGAAGGAGAAATGTTGCGTGTTCTCCTTTATTGGGCATGTCTTGTTTGATTAACTTAATTACATTGGAAAAAGCATTCACAAAAAGACTTGTGTTGCTCTTAAGTCAGTCAAGTTCTGAGTTCTTAATACGGATTAGGGAAATCGGTTTAGTGACAAAATATTCAGTTAGGAGTAAGTAAAATTCAACCCAACTTTTTTTTGAATTATGAGTTGTTTAAGTATATTTAGTTTTTATTTCGAATTTTGAGTTTGAATCAAATTAATTTATAAAGTTGGAATAATCAAAATCAAAATCAAAACGATTTCTTTTTTGTCTGTGGGTTAAGTAATTTGATTTTAAGAAAAATAATATTACAAATCTTACTTTATAAAATAATATATTTATAATAAATATATTTTTAATTATGCTTTCATTTTCTTATCTCAATACTTTTATGGTCTGAAATGAATTCCAGGGGCTGAGAAGAGCAAAACTCATCCTCATGTTCATGGCGATCCACCGGTATGCTATAATGACCTGAAAAAAAAAACTATAGGTTTTTCTAAGAAACGATCTAGGCCGATGTTTTTGACAGTGGTTTATGCCTTTTGTAGGTAGGTAATGGCACGGATACGGCTTGTGCACAGTCTTCGTCGCTCGCAAACGCGAGTTCTTATGGAGATAGCGTTCTTTTGATCATAGCGTTGTGCTTCCATTCAGTTTTCGAGGGCATAGCAATCGGAGTTGCAGAGACCGAAGCTGATGCTTGGAGAGCCTTGTGGACAATCTCCTTGCACAAGATATTTGCAGCGATTGCAATGGGGATAGCACTACTCCGAATGATACCAGATCGTCCGTTGTTGTCGTGCATAGCTTATGCGTTTGCATTCGCCATCTCAAGTCCTGTTGGGGTGGCCATCGGGATCGTTATAGATGCCACGGCTCAGGGTGCTGTGGCCGACTGGATCTTTGCCATATCCATGGGGTTAGCCTGCGGAGTTTTCATCTATGTGTCGATAAATCATCTGCTGTCTAAAGGTTACATGCCCCTGAAGACGGTTTCTGTCGACACACCACACCACAAGTTTTTGTCTGTCTTGTTAGGTGTCGGGGTGATCGCTGTCGTAATGATCTGGGACACTTGAAGGAATTTCAAACTTTTGGGAATGTCGAAAGTAGATCGAATGATATGGAATCGGACAGATGCATATAATGTTTTCGGCACAACTGATGTTTCAGGGTCGTAGTGCCAAAATCAAACCCTAAAACTACAACAGTGTGTTCTTATTGGTAAAATCTCATTAAATTCTCTACAAAAGTGAATTTTAAACTAGTTGAGTGGTAATATACCTAGTGCTTTAGAGATCAACATGAAAAGCTTTCTCAAGGCAAAATGATACTATAATCGGTCCGGCCAAGTCTCCGGCAGCACAGCCTGTAGAAAAAAATTGCAGAGCTTAAAATGATCCCTTTGTACACAAATTTGCTGTACGGTACAAGAGTAAACTGATGCATATAGGTTAGAACTTACCAATCCACTGACCGATCGATGGACGTATAAGAGTAGCGCCAATCCCGGCTCCAACGGAAGCAAAAATCAATGATGCTCCACAACTGATGGTAACACCAGAAATCTTCTTTCCAAGAAGTTTAGCTTGCACTGTTGTGTTGACCCCATCACTCTCTTTGGAGTTTGTTATGCGAGAAAAGCATTTGTAGATTTCGATACCGGTTTGGACAATCCATGCCGCAGCAACTCCGAGAAGGTGACCTGAGCAAACATAGGGAAAAAGGCAATGATGTAATGAAGCTAAAGCTACTATTTATGATAGCACATAAGACATACTGGTGATAGTTTCGACCTCTGAAAGTTGTTCTGCTAACTCTGAAGAAGTACACCGTCGTAGGCATTCCCCTTTGCGATTTCCGGACAGCTGATTTCGGAACATCTGCATATGTCAATTAACCACATCAGTAGCTTACAATGGTAATACTAATAACATCTTATCAAATAATAATAATAATAACAGCATTTGTTTCCTTTTTACATTCTCAGGCAAGTTAAAATACAGCCATTTATCCCCTGTGAGAAAGTACCTTTAAGGAGTTTCCACGCCATGCGTTGTGAAACATAAACGACGGCAAGTCTTTCGAGAACCCGTCTTGTTGTTACAACGGTGGTCTGAGAAGCCATAAACCGTAAAAAAGTTATAGCTGTTCCTTCAATAGCAACGGATTGTCTCGATTGTAAAGCAATGTGCTACAAATGTGGACATATCCATGCCACACAGATTTATGATAGGAACTAAAGATCTAATGAACAACACAAATTGAACATATATTTCATGTGCAGATCTAAATTACTCAACTCTCACCGAAAAGGCATATCCGGACTTCTTTATCGGAACAACTAGGATAGAGTGAATGAGTGACATACCGAAGAACAATACCGTGAAACTGGCAAATGGTGACTCACCTCACGAATGATTTGCTTCACTGATTTTTTGAAGGGAACAACTAAATCGATACGGCACTCTTCCGGAGAGTCTTGCAGGAAATCATCATCTTCCTCCTCTGTGTTCAAAGAAGGCTCCAACAAAGGCAAATAGAACAACAGAAATGACCTCAAGGTTGTCATAGCAAACGGCTTCAACTCGAAAGCAGAGAAAAGGGGCTTCAGCTCAATCTTATATTCCTTTCCAGTGTATTTGAGAGAATCATTCTTCGAGAAATCTTCGGATCGTCTCTTTGCTATTGAAATGTGATCTTCGGGTAAGTCTGCAATAGCATCACAATAAGAAACCTTGGGGAACCTACATCACAATCATTTGGGATAAACATAAACTATCAAAGATGATGTAGTAATCCAAGCCGAAATTCAAAACCATCGAAATCTTTCTAACATATGCCTAATCCGAATTCAAAACCATCAAAACCGTTCTAACGTATGGCTAATCCGAAATTCGAAACTATAGAAACCGTTCTAACAGAAACCCAATTGGCTAATTTCCAAAAACCTCCATTACACAATCCAATAAAATCAGCACTGCTCACTGAGCAAATAAAAAAATCAAGTTCATCCATTGCATACACATACGCATGGTGACATGATCAATGATATAAACAAAGTGTAATTGTTTAAATAACATCAAAAGCCATAGATTTCCGTCCACAACGAAGCAATAACAAAGTAAACACAAACACGGATGAAAACATACCCAAAAAGAAACCTGGAGGCAAAAGGGGTTCCAGCAGCAACGGTAACAGCGGCCGATGCGGCGGCAGCGGAGGCTGAGAAGAACCCAGAAGAGTGGAAGCTTTGTGGAGAGTAAAAGCAGGTTTTTTTCTTGTATAGATCTAGTAATATTGCTATTCCCGCCATTGTTAATCCTCAATATGCAGCTGAAAACAACGAATGGAACAGAACAAATCCACCACTTTGGTTTATATCAATACCATGGCAATGATCAGCTCATATTGTTTTCTGCCTTTTGGTTTTCTCCAGGAAAGTTGAGCCTTTGATGGAGGTTTTAACTTGTGATCAGAAAAATAAGTACAGGTGTAATTAATATAAAAATCAGCACATATTGTTTTCGAAAAGATGTTTTAGTGTTTAATTTTTGGGTAAAGTATAGTAATGGTCACTGAATATTTTACATTTAGGTCTATCATCTTTTAAAATTTGTAATATAGTCCCTCAATATTTAATCTACTTACAATATGGTCCCGCACCTATGAAAATTAAGGTAAATTATATAAATGGTCATTGAATTTTTCAGGCACTTGAATTTAGGTCCCCTAACTTTTTAAAACTTTCAAAACATTCCTTAATTTCATTCTAAACTCCAAATTCCAAAGTAATTCAAATTCATTATAAACCCTAAATTCTAAAATAATTCAATTACATTCTCCCAAATTCTAAAATATTTTAATTTAAGGAGGAATATACTAGATTATCTTTAAGAACGTGATAGCGTTTTGATTTTTTTACTTTTGTGAAGAAAAAAAATAAACTCCCTCCTCGTAAATCTAAATTTAGTGACCTTCAATAATTTAAATATAAAAAATGATTATGGAAGAAATTGAATAAAAAAAAACCACAATCTCTCAATGAAAAAATTATCCCCAATTGACATTCTTATAATTTTTATTTATTTCAATTATAATTTAGTTTTTTAATAGTTTGATGTGATTATAAGATAATATTTATTCAAATTTTTTAATAATATAGATATACCCTACAAACACAATTGTTTGAATTTAAAACTTTTAAAGAAAATAACATTTTTTTACCTATGATACCACTTAACGAGTTATAATATAATTTTGTTAAGTGTATTAGAAAATTAAAAAATAGATTGTGCTAGAACTAAAATAATACGTGACCATGAAATAGAAAATTTACGTACGTTACGAAAACATGGCACAAACCCCATCTCTTTTGAGTTGATTGTTATCATCAACTTAGGGTATATTATATTAAATTATTGATTTTTTATTTTATTTTTGAAGTAGTCAACTTCAGTGTTTATTTTTTATTGTGTTTTTTATGATTTTATTAAATAATTTTTCTACAAAAAATATTTGATGTAAAAAGTAAATAAATATTTAATTATCATGGTAATATTTATATTTTAATTATAATATAAATAATATAAAAATAAAATATATTTATACATCATTACTATAATTAACATAACTCATATATGAAATTTTGACTCTGCTATTTATGTAGTCTTAATATTTATATGAAAGATATAAAATATATTAACACGTATGATTAGATATAAAAACATACACAAATAATTAGAAATATATTTATTTTTAAATAAATGAATTATTATCATATATTCTTACCATTGAAAAAATTTCATGTCTTTAAATTAATATTAAAAAATTATCATATGTTTTTAAATATAAAAAGTAAATTAATTAATAATTTAGTGACATTGGCGTCGTTTATAAAAAAGACAGAAATTGAAGTATTTTAGAATTTGAGTTTTAGAACGTAATTGAATTATTTTGGAATTTAGTGTTTAGAATGAAATTGAATTACTTTGGAATTTGTGGTTTAGAATGAAATTGATGATTGTTTTGTAAGTTTTAAAAGTTGGGGGACCTAAATTCAAGTACCTAAAAAGTTTAGTGACCATTTATATAATTTACCCTAATTTTCATAGGGCAGGGACCATATTGCAAAAGATTAAATGTTGGGAGACTGTATTGCAAGTTTTAAAAGTTGGGGGACCTAAATGCAAGTTTCAGAAATGTTCAGTGACCATTACTATACTTTACCCTTAATTTTTTAATAATAAAAATTATTTTTAACAAAAATAAAAAAGTCTAACTCCTCCTCTAGTCCCCCTCTCTCTCTCTCTCTCTTTCACCCATCTTCGACGGCGAACACCGTCGGTTAAATTTTGTTCAAAATATAACGAAGAACATAATGATGACAGCCGTGTAATATATGGACGATTATAGATGTCAAAATCATCGGAAAATTTAAACAAAAACCTAAAAATATGACGACTATTCGTGATGTTTTTTACAACGATCGACACAATTTCACAGTAGATAAAGGATTGAATTTTAGTTGTGATGTCGACACGATTCTGATGATATCAACTGTAACGCATCAAACCTATGGTAGTTGACCGGCGACATGAAATATAAAGTTTGAGGTTTTTGTAATATTAATTTTTTAAAATAAAATAATTTTTGAAATTTTATATGAAGGACACGTGTCAGATAACAATAAAATTTAATGGTCATTACATTCTAAATACCTAAAGTGTAACGCTGTAAACTTTAAAAACCTATTTTTTACGAAAAAATTCTTTATACATCAAATCTTTCGATGTATAGTTTAGAAATTTATATTTTGTATTATGCTTTAATATAATACAGACAAAATTGATATACAATTTTTTAAAGAGAGAAAGCTATTCTTTTCTTTTCCCTTTTTAATTTGCCCTCATATTACTCTTTGAATTACGGCATGTAAGCGGGAAAAGCAAGACATTTGCTTCAAGAAACTTCAACCACATGAGCGTATATGTTGAGGGAACAAAAAGTAAACAAAGTATGGAGCTTTTAAGCAGATAACAGAGATCAAATGCCCTAACTTGTTTGTTTTCCATGATTTTCCTTTGTTTGTGTCTAAACAAGGAAGCTAAGTGAAAGTGAGTCATCAATGTACGGAATTGAAAAAAAATGCTACAAGTGATTCCATTGATGGTTAGGCTCACAAGTTTTCCCATTGGAGCTTTTTCATTGACAAAGAAATGGTCTCATGGTCGGACTTCTCACGTGATAATCATCACTCCACAAACTGGGGACCTACATTTCGCAATTCAATACATCATGTTGGCATTCATTTTGTTGAACAAAACCAACCACTTAATAAATGTGTAAACTACATTAGTAGTAGGAAATTTTCATTTTGATCCTCGAACTTTTACATTGGATGTCCTTTGATAACAAGGATACAAGGAGACCTTTGAAGAACTTTGAAGTGAGAACATGGTGATCAAACATGTGAGAGAAACAAAGCAAACCCCATCTTGTCCGATGTGTAGTAATGGCAGCTAAACCTTGAGAGCCCATGGACCTAAAAGGCCTATCAAAACCAGTGATGGACTCAGCTGCAAAAATATTGTTTCTTTTCATTTCGTTTTTAATTATTTTAGCTTTCCTTCTTCCATTTTTCTGGTTTTTCATCTATCATCGACAGCTGCATGCCAAATCTCAGCTGCTTTCAAACTACCCATCAAAATGTCCTTTGTTGCCTCTCTTTTTTCATCGCTTTTTCCATCATCTTTTCTCATCTCCCTTTCTCTCCACTATCTCTTGCTCCTCGTATAAGGCAAAGACAAAGTCTTCAACTTTCACCTCTTTCTTGATCCTTTGAGAGAGAAAAAATTGATTTTTCCCGAAAGGATCCTTGTTTTGATGCTAAGTACTGCATGTTTAGGTGTAAAGGAAAGTGACCATTTCCCTTTTTTCCTTGATGATTCTCTTAGTGCAGTCAGTCAATGCCATATGTTGGCCCCTTCTAGTTCTTTCAAGCTTGGGCTTTAGTTTTTTCGAGTTCATCTCTGATCTATTTGCAGATCTTCATGGCTTGTCTCTTTCTGGGTTCTGGCCAGTTATTCCTAATTCACCTCTCTCGTTTGGTACAATTCTTTGAAAAATACAGCTGGGGATTCATGGTGGCATCTTTGGGGGTGGGTTAGTGTATGTTAGTTGTAGCTTTAATTGAATACAGAAAGCTTCTCTGTTGTTTATTTTGAAGGAGGCCTAGTGAGCTGGATATTTTTTGTGAATCTATTGCTGTGTAGTTGTAGTTTCTGATCATAAGATTATTAGATACTCAAACATTTAGTTTCTGTGAATCTTAGTCTGTTTTTTTTCTTTTTGAGATATCTGGCCCTTATTCTTCTTCTTTTACCTACTCATTCTACTTTTTGACTTTTTTTTTGAGGGATCGTTTTAGAGTAGAAGCTTGTTGCCATATTCAAGCTATTTTCTGTATGATTGTATGGTGGTTGTCTTATTGGCAGCTAATCCACCTTTGTTAGAACCCTTCCCCCCCCCCCCCCCTAATTTTATGGGAGAATCTTTAGCTATGTGAATAGGTAGTCAAGCAGATTCTGTATTTTGTAAAATCTCCTCTTGGTGCTTTATGTCAACATGTCTGGAAAAGGCCATTGTTTCGTCGAGTGGAAGCAAGAATTTGTTTTGCAAGAGCGCGGTAATCGTGCGGTTCACTATTTCTTGAAGGGTTCCAACGGGGAATCCATCCGTGCTGTTATCGGTACTGAGAGGAGTGTCAGGGACATGTTTTATATTGTTGCTGAGGAGTTTGTGAAGGTCTATGGTGCTGAGCATTCAATTCATGCTGGTTTCAAATGGAGGTCAAGAAGAGAGGTTGTGCATTGGCTTACATCTATGCTCTCGAAGCAGCATCTCGAGGGAGATCGATCTAGTATGTATTTGAACCCTATTGGGCTTTGGATTCTGTTATTTTCTTGGCATCAAAAGATGGTAAATCACAATAGAATGTATAACTCACAATGTACTTATTAATAAGGCCTTGGTAAAGTAGTTTAGGATTCAGAACAAAACTAAACTTTATTTTTCAGACTTAAGAAAAGTGTAATGATTAAGCTTGTCCTGAATATCCGAAGTTTAATGATAGATTTCAGTTCTTGTATGATTGCTTTTACTTCCATCACATGCTTTTTAACATGATTATCGACTTATCGTTCTTCCATTTTTTCCTAAAGTATAATCTGTACGAGTCATTTAATTTTTGAATGGTTTAGTATTTCTTATTGTTTATGGTTGAAGAAATAAACCAGTCCAAGTCATTTATATTTAGAATCGAAGTCTCCTTGGAAAGAAAACAATATGCTGAATATCTCCGAAAATTACAGTTTTATATCTTCAATGACAGAGTCTCCAAAACATGATGCACTGCTGGCTTTGCAATCTCCTGAATGTG